TTCGGTGGTAGAAGGGGGGTAAAATCTTTACTCCTAGTCCAATATTTTCTTTTAAATTATTTTTCTAAGTAATACGGTAAAAAAAAAAAAATTCAAACAGTTCAAAAAGTACACAGGAAAACTAAGTCTTGAGAATTTTCTGGGAAGATGGTAATGGTAGCAGTCTAGTGTTTGAATCATCCTGTATCGTCCCATTTAACGACAAGAACAAAACTCAAAACCCTCAGCTAACATCTATAATAAAATCAGGCGATATAAAGAGCCACAGATTCCAAAATGAGAAAACAAGACCCTCGTGGTGTCAGGAAGAATATGAAAGGAAGTACAGAAGCGAAAGGCAATTTTGAAGGCCCTGGGAATCCGAGAACCATAAAACTACCATCAGGTGTTCTGAGAATTGACAATTGAGCAGGCTGTTCTGAGAACAGCAGCAGAAATCAAGGCAGACTCTGCAGGCTCCAATATGCAGCTGAGTATGATGAGACTACAGAAAGGTCTGATAATGCTGAAGTGGTCTGGGGGCCCTGAGATGACCAAAGCACCCTCCTCCCAAAAAAGTCCCACCTTCCCTGGTGGTCCAGTGGTAAAGAATCCACCTCCCAATGCAGGGGAATGCAGGTTCGATACCTGGTCCGGGAACTAAGATCCCACATTGCTACGGGGCAACTAAGCCCACGCACCACGACTACTGAGCCACACGCCTCAACTAGAGAGTCTGTGTGCAACACACTCCAGAGCCTGCACACCACAACTAGAGAGAGAAAAACCCACACACCACAACTAGAGAGAAGCCTGCACGCCGCAATGAAAGATCCCGCGTGCTGCAATGAAGATCCCACGTACCACAACTAACACCCAACACAGCCAAAAAATAAAAATAAATAAAATAAATATAAAAAAAAAAAGTCCCACATTGAGGAGAAACTTCTATGAGTAGGGATAGCAGAGGCAAAGAAAATAGGAGATCCAGAAAAAAGGTGGTGGGTGAGCAACGTAGAAAATCTCAGAAAGTTCAAGTCCATATTTTTAAAAAATCACATCATACAAACAACAGAGTTGAAAGCTGTTGGGGGAGGCCATCTGACCCAGGCCCTGACCCATGCACATTCTTGCTAGGTAGGCCAGAAGGCAATGTACTGACCACTCTTTACCTGGGCCATTTTCTCAGGGTTTTGTTTGCAGCAAGCAACCTTGAGGGGTGAAGTAATGTCTTCCCCACCTCCACCCCAAATTACAGTCTTGTTCCCAAATACTATGAAAGTGGGGACTCCCCCAAGCTCAGTGTTTCCCTCCTATAACATAGCCCACTGGGTGTGAAGGCATCCATGGGGGTCCCTCTGCATCTCCCCCAAGGAACTTGGAGCCAGCACAAATGAAGAGCATGCTGACACTTCAACTACTGCTTTTACCATTAGTAACAAAATCCTTTGTCTTTGATATAGGAGTCTCATGTCTTCTGTCAACATCCATGAAACTGTGGCATGCTAACTTGTTAACTTATAAATATGGTAAAATCCTAGACCCTGCACAGTTCTTGACAGAATTTAGAAAATCTCCCTTGTAGGAGTACAGTACAACTCATTCCACTTAAAATATGAGCAAAGAAAAAGGATCACAATTGAATCTCATTCAAAGTGTTTTTCTTGTTTGTTTCGTTTTGTTTTTTAAATAGGAGAACCAGAGAAGAATAATATCTGTTTGGACAATGAAACCATATCAGAAAAACATACCCACAAAAGGAAAGAAAACTATAGCTATCATAATACTTCAGAATTAGCTAAAAGAAAATGATAAAAACTGTAAAGGGAAATGTAAATTACAATGTGAAAAACTCTGAAATAAAGTGACTGAGAAAAGATTTTAAAAGAGGAGCAAAAAACCCAGGAAACATCAGAAAGAAAAAGTCATCTCAAAAATGAAGACTAGAGTGAATAAATACAACAAATAATGTCTTAAAATGAGGAAAATGTGAGAAATAGAAAAGAACTGGAGGGACCTCCCTGGTGGTGCAGTGGTTAAGAATCCACCTGCCAATGCAGGGGACACGGGTTAGAGTCCTGGTCCCGGAAGATCCCACATGCCGCAAAACAACTAAGCCCGTGCACCACAACTACTGAGCCTGCGCTCTAGAGCCCACGAGCCACAACTACTGAGCCCGCACGTCACAACTACTGAAGCCCACGTGCCTAGAGCCCGTGCTCCGCAACAAGAGAAGCCACCACAATAAAAAGCCTGCACACCACAACGAAGAGTGACCCCGGCTCGCTGCAACTAGAGAAAGCCCGCGTGCAGCAATGAAGACCCAACGCAGCCAAAAATAAATAAATTTATTAAATAAATAAGCAACAAGGATATACTGTATAGCACAGGGAAATATAGCCATTATTTTGTAATAACTTTAAATGGAGTAGAATCTATAAAAATATTGAATCATTACATTGTATACCTGAAATGAATATAATATTGTAAATCGACTATAATTTTAAAAATAATAAATTAGTAGTAATATAAGTAGTAAATAAGTAGTTCAAATATTATTTCTAACAAAATAATATTTAAACCATTTCATATCTCACTTAAATAAAAGAATGTTTAAAGTTAAAAGTTTCTTGAGTAATATCCTGTCCTCTGACACTATCACTTGAATACCCTAGTTTACAAAGAGCCTTTCCATATACGATTACACCAGTTCTTCCTACAGCCACCCAAGATGGGTACTATTCCCATTTTTAAAGAAAACTGAAGATTGGTCCTGAAAGCAAGTCCCACACACTGCCCATGAAACTGAGAAGAAACAGAATGGGGAGTAAATCCTTAGGAAGCAAGTTAGGTTTTGAACGTTACAATTTGTGGATTGTGTTTCACAGGTTCTCAATGAATTGGAAGAGAAATGTTTCTAATCCATGTGTACTCATTTTGAAGTAATTATAAGTAAAATTAAAAACCATATTCATCTACTTACTCATCCAAGTCTTTATTAAATACCTACTGTATGTACAATCCTGTGCAAAATATTAAGGAATAGAAAGATGAATTTTTAAGTTGTGCCAACTCACAAGGAGTTTACAATCTAATGACAGTGACAAACAGTTTAACACAAACTTAGGAAAGGAGTTTATGAGTGAACATTTGCTCTTAATTGAGAAAAATCACCTCATGTTTAAATTTAAGGCATAAACTGCCAGTTGGAAGACACTGCTATTAGATACACCTTTATTAGTTCATCGTTTTTAAAGGTTTATTGTTTCTAGGAAAAGAGAACTCTTACCCAATCACATCTTTATGACTGGTTTGAGTTTTTAAAACAAAAATTTGCTCAAAGAGCAAAGTGATGGATTCATATAATCAAATTAACATCATGCACAGAAAGACAAGTGTGTCTGCAATAATGTGTAAAGAGTTGAGCACAACTGGGTCCCGTATTAAAGGGTCAAATCTGAATTATTCTGGAGACTTGCCTTGAAAAAGTTATTATACACAATTTCATCATATATAAAACAGGGGTGATATTTAATTCCAATTAAGGTTAAAACGCAGATGCTATAATTATTTCCACCTGTCTTAATACACAGGGTTAAAAAAACTAGTATAAAAGCTTTTCTAATAATTTATGTATCAAAAATAAATTGGAATAAAAGTAGGGATAAAAGAGAAAAAGTGATGATGGTGTGGCTAATTTAACAGTAACTCTCTCTTTGGCCTTGGAATTGCCACTTGGAGATTAATTTTTCTCCATTTTAAAATGGGCTTTGGGACTTCCCTGGCAGTCCAATGGTTAGGACTCTACCCTCCCAATGCAGGGGGCATGAGTTCAATCCCTGGTCGGGGAACTAAGATCCTGCATGCTGCACAGCGTGGCCTAAATAAATAAATAATAAAACGGACTTTGAAGCATGTGCCCTCCCTGGGTTCTGCATACCTTTCACAACTGGCTTCTGACTGGTGCAGCAGGTCTGGTGTTGCTTTAAGGGTTGCAGACCAGGCTTAGAGTTTCTTTAGCAGTCCAGTCCCATCAAACTTTTAGAAGCCTTCAGGTGTATATTTATCCACACTCAATTTGATGTTAAACTTACCCAAATAACAACTTTTCTTCCTTTTCTTTTTTATTTTTACATTTGAAAACTCTTGAGTTTTATTCGTTGGCCTCTATATTCTGACATCCTCCGTTATTTAGCTTAATGGCAGCTCCCTAAGGGCATACGAAACAATAGACTTGGATTTTTCAAAAAAAAACCCAGTAACTCTCAGTGCATAAATGAATGTAAATGTGCAAGTTATCTATTTTTTCCTGTTTTATTACTTTTTAAAAATGGCTCAGATAAGAAATTTAAAATACCTAGTAAAATAAGTTTGAGAATTCATTTTGTGAGATGTACTGCAGAGAAAAAGGAGCAAGTAGTATAATTTAAAAATATTTATTGATTCATGCTTTCCAGAACTTTTTTTTCAAACCAAAGGCCAATACTCCCCTCTGCTCTCAATGCTAAGCAATTTTTTCCACCCAAAATGATAAAATTATGTATATTTTTATACCTAATCAGTTTGTGACAGCTGTGATTCTCAAACACTTTTTAAAAATAGAAGTAAGCTCAAAGTTGCAAACAGACCATATGTAGTAATTTTAAAAACTGAATAGGCAAAGCCTGACTCTAACTGACCAAATGACCCATCAGCTGGATTCGGCCTTTTCAGGCTACACGAGGACTTTGCTCAAGAGACCTGCATGGGGCTTCCCTGGTGGCACAGTGGTTGAGAGTCCGCCTGCCGATGCAGGGGACAAGGGTTCGTGCCCCGGTCCGGGAAGATCCCACATGCCGCGGAGCGGCTGGGCCCGTGAGCCATGGCCGCTGAGCCTGCGCGTCCGGAACAAAAAGAGACCTGCACGTTATCAGACGGGTTCCCATGGATGTCCTTAACACCACACGCGCGCGGCTTCTGACACCCAATGCTGCCAACGACATCAGGGGAACAGAGAGGAGACCCTGTCGACTGATTCAGTTTTATTCTTCAACACAATTCTCTTCTCCACTCTCTTCATCAGCTTTACCTGTTTCCTTGCAAGAATCTTGGCTGTTGGTATCAGTAAGATAATTTTCTTCCCCATTCTCTCTTTCTTCTATTTTTTCTTCATTAAAGCTAGAGGAAGAAATTTATCAATCTTTCAAAGGAAAAATAATTTGGTTTAAAGGTAAACAAACCCTCTGTAATGTACGCCATCCTGCAGTTAGTCTTCCTCAAGTGTATAAGCTCCGATTTATCAAGAGAAGTCTATAAAAGTACCAATTGGGAAAGTAGATATTCCTCTGAGAAGTAATTTATTTCAAAACTTGATTGACTCAAACTTCATTTGAAAGCATGTTATTGTTTTCATTATTTATGTCAGAAATTTAAATTATTTTACTTTAAAAACAAAATACTTCATCACCGTGTAATATTTTGAAGTGTCAAACATGTTAAAATGTCAGTATATTTTACAGTAGTTCACATGTATTCCATTAGGTAAAAGACGTTTTAAAATATCATAGAACAGAATTTTAGCTTTCCTGCAAGTAGGAATTTTTTCAAAGGTAAACTATTCAGACATCTTATATATGTTACCTTTCTTTATCTTCAGTGAAACTTTTCATCTCTTGATTGCTGAAGTACTCAAATATTTTTCCACTTTGGCCTTTCTTTGAAACAAACTCATCAGATATTCCTAGTGCTTTTAAGGTGTTAGAATAATGCTTTTCTGCTGCCATTCTTGCATTTTTCTATAGGAAAGACAAACCTTTTTAGATAAGAACAAAAGACTTTAAGTTTCCATTACAAATGTACGGGTTAAAAGCTCCTGTGAAAATTAAATTCAATAATCACAGTTGGTTGAAAATTATGCATACCCTCTGACCAGCAATTCCACTCCTAGGTATATGCCCAGAGAAACTCCTACATATCTGCCCAAGGAGACATACCAAAATGTTCAGAACAGTACTGTTTGTAACAACCCCAAACTGGAAACAACCTAAATATCTATCAGCAGTAGGATGGATAAATAAATTGTGACGTATTCATGTAACAGACTAAAATAAAGCAACGAAAATGAACTCTAGCTATATGCCACAACATGGACGGATCTCACAAGCAGCATACCACAAAAGAGTACACGTAGTATGATTCATTTACATAAAGTCCAAAAACAGGCAAAACTAAACTATGTTGTTTAGGGATAGGTACAGCAGTGGTAAAACTGTAAAGAAAAACAAGGAAATGCTTATGTCAAAAGTTAGAAGGGTGGCTACCTCTAGGTGAGAGGGATTTGATCTGGTAGGGGCACGCAGGGTTTCTGGGGTACTGGCAGTGCTCTAATGCTTTTAACCTGGGTAGTGGCCACATGAGTTTTGATCTATAATTATTCTTTATACTGTTTCATGACTGTTCAATGATATCTGAAAAAAATCAGTAAGAAAATAAGTTCCTGTGATAGTTGTCAGAGAGTTCTTTATGTGCCTACTGTAAATTTTACTCTTTACAAGCCATACCTCTAATCCACCAAAGATGATAAAATCATCAATGTTGTTACCTTAATTCTGTAGAGGAAGCAAGAGATACAGCAAGAAAAACATGAATTTAGAACTGGGTTCAACTCTCCAGAATGTTACTTCCTGGCTTTGTGGGAGTTGTGATGACACTCTCATACCTAAAGCAAGTCAGTTGTCACAGTTCCTGAGGCCACAGGATTTACAGAGACATAAGATGACTGGGGTTCTCATTAGTGCCTTGGCTTTACTCCAATTTTATCTCCTATGAGTGGACATGAACTAGTATAGGGCCAAAAATCGTCATCTGGACCTCAAACTAAAGGAAAGGCCCGAGGAATGGCCCAGCCCCAATGCACCAATGGCATCCCATCCTGGAAAGGGTGTGGAAGAGCACCCAGTCTCACCCCAAATTTAACAAATAAGTAAGATACTCCCTCCACTCTTGCTGAGGTTAAGCGGTTTGCTTAAGGTCACAGGATATAGTGAGAGGGAAAACCAAGTCTCTTAATCCTTTCCTGAGTCTTCTCCACTCCACCATGCTGCTTTCTAAGTGGAAGTGGTTATCCTGGAGTTTGAAGGTAGCCTAAAGTCTGACTTCAGCAAATCAGTGTCAGATATTTTCCTAACCCAGGGATTCCAGCATAAGGAAGGACCATGGAGTCTAGTGTCCCATGGGAGAAACCAAAATGGCAAAGACTGATTACAATGGATAAAACTATCACCAGTGCATTTCCTGACATGCTAGAAAACTGAAAAAAGAAGCACTCAAGCTGCTGCTAAAATGCACCCACTGTGAATAATAATAATTTTCAGAAAAGTAAGTAAAAATGCAACCAGAGGCTATGAACACAAACAGACAAGACTTGGGGAACTGAAAGGCACAGCAAAGTGAGACAAGAACTATGCCCCAAAGACTGTAAAGCAGAATAAAGAAACCCCAAACGTAACCCAATGTATCAAGAAAAATATGTTCTAATTTTAAGCAAATGAAATATAAAAGATTTAAATGATACTAATCAATGTTAGTGCTTGTAAGCCTTCATCTGAATTTGGCTTAAAATCCAATTTAACATCTATTCAGTTAATAAATCCTGTGATTTTCAAGAAACAGGAAAACATGGTTTGCTCTGTCCTGGATCACAGGCGTACTCTGCTAGGGGGTAACTCAACAGCAGCAAGACCACAATTAACACTTATAAATGGGTAATGCATAAAGTTGTGAGTGAATTTATTAAATAACAGCTGTTAATTAGCAGCAATAGTCACTGCAAGAAAAAAAGAAGTTCTAATTTATGTTAACAAAACCAAAACAATGGTGAGTCACCCTCAATCACCCTGTATATAGAATTTATTACCTTTTAATATTTTATATCAAGGTGAATAGTGTGTAATTGTTCCTAATTGAAACAAACATTTCCCCCTTGAATTTCACAATGCAAAAGAATTGTAAAGACCATGAAATAAAAGTAGTTAAAATAACTGTATGGTTATTTTGTTTTTCTATCTAAGACTGCAAAAAAAACAAATTAACTTTGTTTCTTGAGGAAACCAAAATAGTGAGGAATGATGAAAGTTTGTCTACAATCACTGCCCTAGTTTGAAGGGGAAAAATACTTAATTTTTATGAGCCTAAGTTTAGTTTATAGTAATTCTTTCCTTTATTTAATAATAACTGAATATTTATTTTGTGACAAGCCCTCACGGGAGGTAGAGGCTATATGGGGATAGAGAACAGCATATGTGTGGGCCAAGGGTGGTGGAAGAAATATCATTTGTGAAACTAACTTATGTTTTCAATATTTAACATTTCTTTATGGGTTTAATTTCACACACACCACTTATTTTACCACATTTTCTCTGGTGCTTAGAAAGAGTGGGAATTCACAGCATGGTAAAACTGCTTGTTAATACTGAGGCTCATCACTAGTATTGTCAGGGTAGTGCTCTCAGCCTGGACTAATCCCAGGAAGAAACAGTTCAGTTTGGGTTCAACAAATGTTTCTTAACATCCCCTTTGTGCCATACATTGTCTTAGGTGCTAAGTGCTAGGAATACAAAGATTTGACCAACACCTTTAAAAGTAACTAGCTGAAAGAGAAGAGAGCATTGAACAGATAATTTCCACACAACATGCAGGAGCAAAGACAGAGATGCACAAAAGAGTAATAAAAGAACACAGAGGAGGACGTCCCTGGTGGCGCAGTGGTTAAGAATCTGCCTGTCAATGCAGGGGACACAGGTTCAATCCCTGGTCCAGGAAGATCCCACATGCTGCGGATCCACTAAGTCTGTGTGCCACAACTACTGAGCCCACGAGCCACAACTACTGAAGCCCGCGCACCTAGAGCCCGTGCTCTGCAACGAGAAGCCACCGCAATGAGAAGCCTGCACACCACAACAAAGAGCAGCCCCTGCTCACCATAACTAGAGAAAGCCCGCACACAGCAACAAAGACCCAACGCAGCCAAAAATAAATAAATAAAAAGACTAAAATACTTACTTTAAAAAAAAAAAAAAAAGAGGGCTTCCCTGGTGGCGCAGTGGTTGAGAGTCCGCCTGCCTATGCAGGGGACACAGGTTCGTGCCCCGGTCCGGGAAGATCCCACATGCCGCGGAGCGGCTGGGCCTGTGAGCCATGGCCGCTGAGCCTGCGTGTCCGGAGCCTGTGCTCCGCAACGGGAGAGGACACAACGGTGAGAGGCCCGCGTACCGCGCAAAAAAAAAAAAAAAAAAGCCTGCAGTTGGGAGCTGGAGATAAGTAATTTGAGGCGAAAGTCAATCACTTTATGCTGAGTAACACAGAACAACTTAAGATAAATTTTTTCCCCTAAAGTTGAAACTGAGATATGGAAAAAAAACACCATCCCTTAAAATGAAAAGCATTACATAAAATTATATCCAAATCAGTCAGTAAAGGGTTCCCATCACTTTGAGAGGCTGTAATATGTAGATTTACCCATAACACACGTCCTTTGTCCTCAGTGAGTCACTGACACGGTCAGTCCTATAAGGACACTCATCTGTCCCAGACACTTGCTGGCAGGAAGCTCCAAATGTAACAGCTTGAAATTCACAACACAGCACCCGTAACCTCCAGTGATTTTGTCCATTGTTAAACCATGTCGCCCATTGGAGCCCCTCCCTCATGGACACAAAGGGGAAGATCATCTGAAATTGACAAATTTCTCTTAAGGGAAAGACTGTAAAACTGAGTATAAATCTAGTAAAATCAGAATTCATCGTCCATAGGATCCAAGTATTTTTTCTGATAAAAAGGAAGTGCTTCTCACAGACGTAGAAAACAAACTTATGGTTACCAAATTGGGGGAGGAGGGATAAATTAGGAGGTGGGATTAACAGATGCACACTACTTTATATAAAACAGATAAACAACAAGGTCCTACTGTACAGCACAGGGAACTATATTCAATATCTTATAATAACCTATAATGGAAAAGAATCTGAAAAAGAATATACATATACACACACATATACATATATAACTGAATCACTTTGCTATATACCAGAAACTAATACCACATTGTAAATCAACTATACTTCAATTTTTAAAAAAAGGAAGTCCTTTCGGTAATTGTAGATAAGACTAAAAATTATAGACTCACTTAAAAAAACTGATCAACAAAATGAAAAGGCAAAAATTTTAAAATGAAAAGGCAACCTACTGAATGGGAAAAAATATCTGCAAATCATCTACCTGATAAAGGGTTACTATCCAAAATACATAAAGAACTCATACAAGTGATTAGCAAAAACCAAATAATCAAATTTAAAAATGGGCAACAGATCTGAATAGACATTTTTCCAAAGAGGATATTCAAATGACCAACAGGCACGTGAAAAGGTGCTCAACATCACTAATCATTAGGGAAATGAATCAAAACCACAATGAGATATCACCTCATACCTGTTTCAATGGCTAGTCTCAAAAAGACAAGACATAACAAATGCTGGTCAGGATGTAGAGAAAAGGGAACCCTTGTGTGCTGTTCGTGGGAAAGTAAATTGGTGCAGCCATTATGGAAAACAGTATAGAGGTTCCTCAAAAACTTAAAAATAGAACTACTACACAATCCAGCAATTCCACTCCCAGGCATTTATCTAAAGAAAATGAAATCACTATGTCAATTCACTGAAGCATTATAGACAATAGTTAAGACGTGGCAACAACCCAAATGGCCACCAAAAGACGAATGGATAAAGAAAATGATATATATATATATATATATATATATATATATACATACACACACACACACACACACACACACACACACACAATGGAATATTATTCGGCCATAAAAAAGGAAATCCTGCCATTTGTGACGATACAGATGGACCTTGAGGGCATTATGCTAAAGGAAGTAAGTCAGACAGAGAAGGACAAATACTATATGATCTGATTTACGCGTGGAATCTAAATACACACACACACAACTCATAGAAAAGGAGATCAGATTTGTGGTTACTGGAGGAATTGGATGAAGGTGTCAAAAGGTACAAACTTCCAGTTATAAGATAAATAAGTACTGGGGGTGTGACGTACAGCATGGTGACTACAGCTAACACTGCTGTGTGGCATATTTGAAAGCTGCTAAGAGAGTAGGTCCTAAAAGTTCTCGTCACAAGGAAAAAAAATTTTTTTGGTAACAATACGAGATGATAGATGTTAACTAAACGTATTGTTGTAATCATTTCCTAATATACGTATGTCATTATGCTGTATACCTTAAACTTATACCTGCTATATGTCAATTTTATCCCAAGAAAACAAACAAAAAAAACTGGCAGGAATAAATCTGATTCAATTAGCCATTTTGTTTCATTTTTTAATTTTTCAAAGACTTCCAAAACTCACCTTAATATTTGGCCAAGTTGGTACTAGCCATTAAAAACAGGTTGTGAAACTATTATTTTGAAAATGATTGGATTAGCAGCATGTTCTTTATCAAGCTTACGAGCTTCATCAAGATTCAATGCTCAGATTTAAGCAAAACTACTTACTTGACTGATGTGATGAAGCTGTCACAGAAATAATACTATCTCAGTAAATTATATAACACATAAGAAAAATGGACCTAAAAATTAGGAGATAGAGATGTTAAAAAAAAAAGAAAAAAAGCTGACAATAGCTCTCAAATTCCAACAAACACAACCTGAGCAACTCTTTCAAATAGCAGCGGCCTGTTTTTTAATTTTTCTTCTCTTTCTTCTAGTTCTCGTCGGTATTCTCTCATCCTTTCTTTTTCACTCTTTCTAAAATCAAATAAAAGGAATGGAATTTTTAAAAGAAATAAGAATTTGCACATATAACATTTAGCGTAGATGACAAATCAGAAATTAAGTCATGAGCACAGTTTATCACAATTTCTTTCCCAGACTGGTAAATTTTTATGGAATGCAGGATAAAAATTCTAGGTTCTGAGAGCACGAATTTTACATCCCGGGAACAGTCTGGGTACTTTGAGGTTCCTGCAATCTTCAAAGCATAATGGATTCAGTGGCTTCAAACTGGCCTGAGGAGATAAATGAATGCCCTCTTATCTCATTTATAAGTATTTATAAACCAAAAAAGTTTGGTCCAAATTTGGTATCTTCTCTTTAAGGAATTTCTTCTGAAAACAAGACGTTGCTCTTCTTTTTTCCCCTAAATGATATCTCCTATAGGTTGATGGCACAGTTAATTAAATGGGAGCAGGGCAGGGGAGAAATGGGGAGTATGGGAATACCACATAGAGAGGAACAGGAACCAAAATACATAAATTCACAGTAAGTATACTTACTATTTGAACCAGATCCTATAATAAATTAAATTATGCTACTTTCTCTATATAAAATACACTAATTCTACCAAGATCATAAGACTTCATGGATTAGAAAAAATAATTATACCATAAAATGATAATTATGCTTAACTATACACAATTTAGCATTATGGAAAATCCCGTTTACTTTCTAAGGATGACCAGTATATTTCTAACAAATATTTTGCTCAAGTTCATCAAATCAAGCTCTTTTTATCAATGAATTACATTGGTACACATTATAAGGAATGTATACATAACATCTGTTACAAAGGAATATAATAATTATTATACATAATATACATTTAAAAAGGAACACTCATAATTAAAAGCAAATATAGATTTGGGGGTATTTATAAATCAGATTAAAAATTAATAAATCATATTACTTACCCAGCTTTGAGGGAGATATTTTACTACTTAAACATGAACATTTTTATGTCGCAACATAAAAATGTTCCTCTGGAACACTGATTTTCAAACTTTGTACTGCAGAATTGCAGCATGTAATACATACTACTAAACCTTAACACACGTGTTAACTGACACACCACATAACTGATGTTAACATCAATGTGTTAATTTGTGCTGTCAGATTTCATGCAGACCTTAGAACAAAGCTCTCTGACATATCTGTTTATTGAAGAATATCCTGAGATTACACGGCAAGCTGTTAAAAAGAGCTTTATCTGTGTGAATCAAGATTTTTCTCAATATTGCACTGTGCAATAAAAAATAATATAAAGAAAAAGTTTAGATGCTGATGTAAGATTACAACTGTGAACTATGGCCACAATACTTGAGTCAGTATACATATTGGTTTTCACCACTTCGTGGGGGAGAGAGGATGAGAGAGAGAGAGAGAGACAGAGAGAGAGAGAGACAGAGAGACAGAGAGAGAGAGAGAGAGAGAGAGAGAGAGAGAGACAGAGAGAGAGTGTGTGTGTGTGTAAGTTAACTATAAGTAACTGATAGTAACTTGAATCCAGAAACTGAAATACTAATACTATTCTTAATTTGTTCATATATTGGGGGTCCACTGATTCAAAAAAAGTTTGAAAACCAATGATCTGGAGGGTCAGGATTCTCTCATGATACCTGAGAGATTTTACTCTGGATTTAGACATTTGAGCTAAACTCTGATGTGAGTCATAAGCCTTAGCCCGGGTTGTCAAGAGTTTCTGCAATTCTTTCATTCTTTGCTTCTGCTTAGTTAGGATCCGATTTCTCTCTTCTTCCAACATTTTCTTTTCCTCAAGTGATCTCCTGAGGGCAACAAACTAAGGCTTAATTCACTTTAAGCCAATGAGAATGTTGTTTAGCAAAGACAACACGGGATAATTCAACGGTTGAAAACAAGGGGCAACCTTCTGAGAAGGATCTGAGTTGTAATTAGAAAATCAATAGGGTGACTGTAACCTTTTCTATCCCCAAAGATTCATAAAATGGAAAATACATTCATTTCTTAGAAGAACACCCTCTGGCAAAATGTTCTATATTATATAGTAAAATATGTTACCAGATAAAATAACGTCATATTTTCAAATTCCCCAATACAAAATCAATGGAGCAACCATGAGTCAATCAGTGCTGTATCAGTTATTTACCTTGTGGCTTGTTCTCTTCCCCTGGAGGACACCGTGGGCATGGGAGGGTTGCAGCTACAAGGCACAGGTTTTGCATTTCTACTTCTTACTGGTGACCTGCGCCTTGGAGACAGATAAGGCCAACGTGTTTCTTTTAAATTTTCTTCATCTGCTTCAATATCTGCCAAGATTTTCTCTCTTTCAGTGGATGCATGTGAGGCTGCATGAAGGTCAGATGGTTCACAGACTGTCAGGGGTTTTGGACACTTCTGTTCTGAGTGATGTTTCTGATATCTCTCAGGAAGGTCTTCAGTATCAGCAGTCTGGCACCTAACCTTGTGTTTACACTTGGACTTTTCAGCCTGTTCAGGACACTTGGGCTTCCTTGTAGCATAACTTCTGCGAGCTGGACTACAAGGCAGAGGGGATGAATTCTGTAAAAAGTCTTGGGTTCTCTGCTGCGTCCTAATGTTTCTATAGAGTTCTTCTTCTGTTAACTTGTCATTGACAGTTGAACCATAAGTAGATCGAGGTATCGGTCTGGCTTTAAATTGGTTTGTTTTCTTTTTAGACTTAAAAAAGTCTTTCAGCTGCTTTTCCCGAATTTGCTTCTGTTCCTCCCTTGCAATAAACTTAAACGGCTTTTGCGAGGCCAAAAGAGCTTCTTTGTTTTTCTCCTTCATAGACCTCCTCCGTTCTTCATTTTGCTTGACTATATCATGATAAAGGGGGAGAAAGACGAACGCAGGAACTGGGTTGGCTCGGAATTTTTTCTTACACTCTGATTCTTCTTCTTGTTTCTTGAGCAGTTTGCGTGCCATTTCAATATCTGATTTAGATTTCATGTTCTCTTCTTTTTTCTTCTGCTCTCTAATCATCATTTGAAAAGGCTCAGGTACTGTAATCTTTGGCACCCATTCTTTTGGCTTCTTTTTTTTTTTTTCGAGTGCTGGCAAGTCAGCATCTTCAAACTGAATATAATCTTCAACAGAGAAGTTTGTCCACATGTTGTTGATGAGCTCCTTAGCATAGGTCATCATTCTGCTTTTCTCAGAATACTCTTTTTCTACGTTGGGCAACTCATCTTCAGAGGAAGACACAATCAAGGAGGAAGACTGACCTAAATCAGGCTCTGAAATTGATGTCATTAATGAAACAGGATGATGGGAGCTCTTTTCTGATACAGACCTAAGTAAATGAGAAGAATAATTAGTTTACTCTTTCAGCTGCATGTGACCAAATATAAAAATTAAGAACTACATAATTTCTAAGATCAAGGCAAAATCAGTTAGAAAATAGGAGCTGGATAGGGCTTGTGAAAATTATCAATTTTTTTTTTAGAACAGAGCCTGGGAGATGCCGATAAATGATCTAGTTTTACTCCCTCATTTACCAGGGCAGGAACCTAAGACAGCAGAGGCTCCTTGGGTCTAATCACTATTGAATTCTCCACACATTTTCCAGAGTCACCATCTTAAAACATACATCTGATCACATCACTCTCCTTCCTGAAACTTTCCCATGATTTGTCATTGTTACAAAGTCTAGATTATAGGGACTTCCCTGGTGGCGCAGTGGTTAAGAATCCGCCTGCCAATGCAGGGGACACGGGTCCGAGCCCTGGTCCGGGAAGATCCCATATGCCACAGAGCAGCTAAGCCCATGCGCGACAACTACTGAAGCCCGTGTGCCACAGCTACTGAAGCCTGTGTGCCGCAACTACTGAGCCTGTGCTCTAGAGCCCACGAGTCACAACTACTGAGCCCACGTGCCACAACTACTGAAGCCCACATGCCCTAGAGCCCGTGCTCCACAACAAGAGAAGCCACTGCAATGAGAAGCCCGTGCACCGCAACGAAGACTAGCCCCCGCTCGCTGCAACTAGAGAAAGCCTGTGTGTAGCAACGAAGACCCAATGCAGCCCCCCCAAATTGTTTTTTAATTGGAAAAAGAAAAGTCTAGATTTTAAAGCCCTTCAAGACTAGCCCCTGCCTTCCTTTCCAGTTTCACCTCTTGCCTCTCCCTACCCCGTCACCATTCTTAAGTGAGATCCAATCACAGGGGGCTTCCCTGGTGGCGCAGTGGTTAAGAATCCACCTGCCAGTGCAGGAGACACGGGTTTGAGCCTTGGTCTGGGAAGACCCCACATGCCACGGAGCAACTAAGCCTGTGCGCCACAACTACTGAGCTTGCGCTCTAGAGCCCGTGAGCCACAACTACTGAAGCCTGCACACCTAGAGACTGTGCTCCGAAACAAGAGAAGCCACTGCAATGAGAAGCCTGTGCACCACAACGAAGAGTAGCCCCCACTCGCCACAACTAGAGAAAGCCCGTGCGCAGCAACGAAGACCCAATGCAGCCAAAAAAAAAAAAAAATCCAATCACAGGCCACTTCCCTGGTGGTCCAGTGGTTAAGAATCTGCCTTCCAATACAGGGGGACGCGAGTTTGATCCCTGGTGGGGCAACTAAGATCCCACATGCCTCGGGGCAACTAAGCCCACGCACTGCAACTAGGGAACCCGTGCACCGCAACTACTGAGCTCGCGGGCTCTGGAGCCCTTGCGCCATACCTAGAGAAGCCCGCACACCTGCCACGAAGAAGAACCTGTGCGCCACAATGGAGACCCAACACAAGGAAAAAAAAAAAGATCCAATCATGGGAAGTTCCTCACACACACACGGTGATGTCTCACGGCACCATGCCTTGGCACACATGGTTCCTGCGGCCTAGAAGGCCACTCCTTGCTTCCTACATCTGCTTCAGCTATTTCTCCTTCAAGACTGAACTCAGATATGACACTCGATGTGCCTGTATCCCTCCACTGACACCTTGACATGATCAACTGCTCTTCTTCTGTCTCCATGACACTCTGTTACACCATGTTGTGTGTTTAGATCTCAGCTAGTCTTTGACCTCCTTGAGGGCATCTTGATTTTGACTCCTCGGTGCCCAGACAAGGTCTGGCACACAGGAGATGCACAATCAGAGCTGACCAACTCAAGTTTCAAAAGAAGCAAGTTTATGGCAAAAATGACTATTTTGAAAACTTAAATCAGATCTGTGTCTTAGCTCTGAACCTTCTGTACTATATCTTTACTGAGCTCATATTAATCCACATATTATAAAAAAAAGGGCTTTTAAAGTTACATTTTAATATTCATCATTTGAAAATGGCCCAGACTAAATATTCTGATACATGTCTAAGAATGGTGGGTCAGAGAGAAAAGAACAAAGGGCCACCAAATGACCCACAAGGCAAGAAGCCACCTAATAGGTTGATAAGCCATCAAACAATCTGAATAAAATCTCACCTCTGTATATCATTAAAAGCACAAAGGGATATTTGAAAGAAAATATTCTGAAATAATTTTGTTCTGCACTTTTAAGTATACATTTTACTTTACAGTCCACAAATAACATTATGTACAAACTTACCTGGAAGAGACACTAGCAGCTTCTTCCATGGTGATCGCTAGCTGAACTTCCTTTAAATTTAATTTATTCTGGTACATTTTCTCTAACTTTGCCATAGTTTCCATGTGGGCTGCCTTCAGCTCTTCTAGTTTCCTGAAGTACTCTTCATTAGAGTGGTAAATATCAGAAAGGTCCACAAAATCCTCACAGCTTATACGTTTTTGTTCATTTACCCCAGAAATGTTGGTGTTAAAATCAGCCTGGTAGGAGGAAAAAACCTGTTATATGATGTCTAGAATGGAAAGACAAATTAAGTTGACACTGGTTCCCAATGCTGCTTTTTAAAAAGAGTCCACTTAAATAGGTTATATGCTACTTGTGGACTATGTACATATAACAGATTATAAGTTACTTGTGGCCTATGCACATTTTCTCCTAATGACATTTTATTAAGAACAAGAGAGAGAGACCAAGTTGCCAGAAAATAAATGTTTAATCCATTTTATAAAGGATGGTTAGATTCCCAGATGCATGTACTAACCCATACACTATAGTAGAATCAAGCCAAACCACCATTTGTAAAGAGCCTCCTTCTGGAGGAGCTTCAAGATGGCAGAAGAGTAAGACGCGGAGATCACCTTCCTCTCCACAAATACATCAGAAATACATCTACATGTGGAATAGCTCCTACAGAACACCTACTGAACGCTGGCAGAAAACCTCAGACCTCCCAAAAGGCAAGAAACTCCCCATGTACCTGGGTAGGGCAAAAGAAAAAAGAAAAAACAGAGACAAAAAAATAGGGATGGGACCTGCACCAGTGGGAGGGAGCTGTGAAGGAGGAAAGGTATCCACACACTAGTAAGGCCCTTCGCGGGCGGAGACTGCGGGTGGCGGAGGGGGAAGCTTCGGAGCCACGGAGGAGAGCGCAGCAATAGGGGTGCGGAGGGCAAAGCGGAGAGATTCCCGCACAGAGAACCAGTGCCGACCAGCATTCACCAGCCCGAGAGGCTTGTCTGCTCACCCGCCGGGGCGGGCGGGGCTGGGAGCTGAGGCTCCGGCTTCGGAGGTCGGATCCCAGGGAGAGGACTAGGGTTGGCGGCGTGAACACAGCCTGAAGGGGTTAGTGCGCCACAGCTAGCCGCGAGGGAGTCTGGGGGAAAAGTCTGGACCTGCCGAAGAGGCAAGAGACTTTTTCTTGCCTCTTTGTTTCCTGGTGCATGAGGAGAGGGAATTAAGAGCGCCGCTTAAAGGAGCTCCAGAGACGGGCGCGAGCCACGCTCTGAGCGCAGACCCCAGAGACGAGCATGAGACGCTAAGGCTGCTGCTGCCGCCACCAAGAAGACTGTGTGCAAGAACAGGTTACTATCCACGCCTCCCCTCCCGGGAACCTGTGCAGCCCGCCACTGCCAGGGTCCCATGATCCAGGGACAACTTCCCCGGGAGAACGCACGGCACGCCTCGGGCTGCTGCAATGTCACGCTGGCCTCTGCCGCCGCAGGCTCGCCCCGCACTCCGTACCCCTCCCTCCCCCCGGCCTGAGTGAGCCAGAGCCCCCGAAGCAGCTGCTTCTTTAACGCTGTATGCCCTCAGGCGACCTACACGCAGAGGCGGGGCCAAATCCAAAGCTGAACCCCGGGAGCTGTGCGAACAAAGAAGAGAAAGGGAAATTTCTCCCAGCAGCCTCAGGAGCAGCGGATTAAATCTCCACAATCAACTTGATGTACCCTGCATCTGTGGAATACCTGAATAGACAACGAATCATCCCAAATTGAGGAGGTGGCCTTTGGGAGCAAAGATATATATATATTTTAACCTTTTTGTGAGTGTGTATGTGTATGCTTCTGTGTGTGATTTTGTCTTTATAGCTTTACTTTTACCATTTGTCCTAGGGTTCCGTCTGTCCATTTTTTGTGTTTTTAAAAATTACTTTAAAAAATTTTTTTCTTAATAATTATTTTTTATTTTAATAACTTTATTTTATTTTATCTTCTTTCTCTCTTTCTTTCTACTTTTTCTCCCTTTTATTCTGAGCCGTACGGATGGAAGGCTCTTGGTGCTCCAGCCAGGCATCAGGGCTGTGCCTCTGAGGTGGGAGAGCCAAGTTCAGGACACTGGTCCACAAGATACCTCCCAGTTCCATGTAATATCAAATGGCAAAAATCTCCCAGAGATCTCCATCTCAACACCAAGACCCAGCTTCACTCAACGACCAGCAAGCTACAGTGCTGGACACCCGATGCCAAACAACTAGCAAAACAGGAACACAACCCCATCCATTAGCAGAGAGGCTGCCTAAAATCAAAATAAGGCTACAGACACCCCAAAACACACCACCAGACGTGGACCTGCCCACCAGAAAGACAAGATCCAGCCTCATCCACCAGAACACAGGCACTAGTCCCCTCCACCAGAAAGCCTACACAACCCACTGAACCAACCTTAGCCACTGGGGACAGACACCAAAAACAACAGGAACTACGAACCTGCAGCCTGCGAGAAGGAGACCCCAAACACAGTAAGGTAAGCAAAATGAGAAGACAGAAAAATACACAGCAGATGAGGGAGCAAGGCAAAAACCCACCAGACCTAACAAATGAAGAGGAAATAGGCAGTCTACCTAAAAAAGAGTTCAGAATAATGATAGTAAAGATGATCCAAAAACTTGGAAATAGAATAATTACAAGATATGTTTAACAAAGACCTAGAAGAACTAAAGAGCAAACAAACAGTGATGAACAACACAATAAATGAAATTAAAAATTCTCTAGATGGGATCGATAGCAGAATAACTGAGGCAGAAGAACGGATAAGTGACCTGGAAGATAAAATAGTGGAAATAACTACTGCAGAGCAGAATGAAGAAAAAAGAATGAAAGTAATTGAAGACAGTCTTAGAGACCTCTGGGACAACATTAAATGCACCAATATTCGAATTACAGGGGTCTCAGAAGAAAAAGAGAAAAAGAAAGGGACTGAGAAAATATTTGAAGAGATTATAGTTGAAAATTTCCCTAATATGGGAAATGAAATAGTTAATCAAGTCCAGGAGGCACAGAGAGTCCCATACAGGATAAACATGCCAAGACACATATTAATCAAACTATCAAAAATTAAATACAAAGAAAAAATATTAAAAGCAGCAAGGAAAAACAACAAATAACACACAAGGGAATCCCCATAAGGTTAACAGCTGATCTTTCAGCAGAAACTCTGCAAGCCAGAAGGGAGTGGCAGGACATGTATAAAGTGATGAAGGAGAAAAACCTACAACCAAGATTATTCTACCCAGCAAGGATCTCATTCAGATTTCAAACTTTTTTTTTTTTGCGGTACACGGGCCTCTCACTGCTATGGCCTCTCCCGTTGCGGAGCACAGGCTCCGGACGCGCAGGCTCAGTGGCCATGAGTCACAGGCCCAGCCGCTCCACGGCATGTGGGATCCTCCCGGACTGGGGCATGAACCCATGTCCCCTGCATCGGCAGGTGGACTCCCAACCACTGCGCCACCAGGGAAGCCCCCCTCATTTAGATTTGATGGAGAAATTAAAACCTTTACAGACAAGCAAAAGCTAAGAGAATTCAGCACCACCAAACCAGCTTTACAACAAGTGCTAAAGGAACTTCTCCAGGAAGGAAACACAAGAGAAGGAAAACACCTACAATAACAAACCCAAAACAATTAAGAAAATGGTAATAGGAACATACATATCGATAATTACCTTAAATGTAAATGGATTAAATTTTCCAACCAAAAGACATAGACTGGCTGAATGGATACAAAAACAAGACCCATATATATGCTGTCTACAAGAGACCCACTTCAGACCTAGGGACACATACAGACTGAAAGTGAGGGGATGGAAAAAGATATTCCATGCAAATTGAAATCAAAAGAAACCTGGAGTTGCAATTCTCATATCTGACAAAATAGACTTTAAAACAAAGACTATTAGAAGAGACAAAGAAGGACACTACATAATGATGAAGGGATTGATCCAAGAAGAAGATGTAACAATTGTAAATATTTATGCACCCAACATAGGAGCGCCTCAATACATAAGGCAAATACTAACGGCCATAAAAGGGGAAATCAACAGTAACACAATCATAGTAGGGGACTTTAACACCCCACTTTCACCAATGGACAGATCATCCAAAATGAAAATAAATAAGGAAACACAAGCTTTAAATTATACATTAAACAAGATGAACTTAATTGATATTTATAGGATATTCCATCTGAAAACAACAGAATACACATTCTTCTCAAGTGCTCATGGAACTTTCTCCAGGATAGGTCATATCTTGGGTCACAAATCAAGCCTTGGTAAATTTAAGAAAATTGAAATCATATCAAGTATCTTTTCCGACCACAACGCTATGAGGCTAGATATCAATTACAGGAAGAAATCTGTAAAAAATACAAACACATGGAGGCTAAACAATACACTACTTAATAACCAAGAGATCACTGAAGAAATCAAAGAGGAAATCAAAAAATACCTAGAAGCAAATGACAATGAAAACACGACGACCCAAAACCTTTGGGATGCAGCAAAAGCAGTTCTAAGAGGGAAGTTTATAGCAATACAGTCCTACCTTAAGAAACAAGAAACGACTCAAATAAACAACCTAACCTTACACCTAAAGCAATTAGAGAAAGAAGAACAAAAAAACCCCAAATTTAGCAGAAGAAAAGATATCGTAAAGATCAGATCAGAAATAAAAAGAAATGAAGGAAATGATAGCAAAGATCAATAAAACTAAAAGCTGGTTCTTTGAGAAGATAAACAAAACTGATAAACCATTAGCCAGACTCATCAAGAAAAAAAGGGAGAAGACTCAAATCAATAGAATTAGAAATGAAAAAGGAGAAATAACAACTGACACTGCAGAAATACAAAGGATCATGAGAGATTACTACAAGCAACTCTATGCCAATAAAATGGACAACCTGGAAGAAATGGACAAATTCTTAGAAACGTATAACCTTCCAAGACTGAACCAGGAAGAAATAGAAAATATGAACAGTCCAATCACAAGCACTGAAATTGAAACTGTGATTAAAAATCTTCCAACAAACAAAAGCCTAGGACCAGATGGATTCACAGGCAAATTCAATCAAACATTTAGAGAAGAGCTAACACCTATCCTTCTCAAACTCTTCCAAAATATAGCAGAGGGAGGAACACTCCCAAACTCATTCTACGAGGCCACCATCACCCTGATACCAAAACCAGACAAAGATGTCACAAAG